GAGAAAAGCAAAGCGAAAGGGAATGACTTTAACTTTCCTGAGGCTTGTTTAGTGACTCAGAATCCGTGACTGTGATTTCTGGGTTGCAGACACCTGCTGAGTGCATGGGTGGGGTGGGGTGGGGCTCCGTGGGGGCCTGCGCCCTCGGGTGGTTACCTGGTGAGCTGTGCCCTCGGGTGAGGTGGTTACATGGCACTCTGGCCCGCTGCTGCGCTCTGGCCTTGCTGTGATTTACAGGGAGGGCCAGGAGGGGTATGAGCTCATTTCTGAGCCAGGGCGTTGGGGACTCGGAGGAGAGCCTGCTGGCCCCTGGGTGGGTGCGGAGTGTCAAAGCTGAGCCACGGGCTGAGGGCAGAACAGACGTGAGGCCTCTGGGGGAGTGAGGTGCTCGGCTCCCGCAGGGCTCCCCCAGCTCGTGGGAGAGGGCAGCACTGGCTGTGGTCTCGAGGCTGCCTTAACCGAGTCCTGTGGGTTTCCTTTCCAGACTGGAAGAAGCGCTTCATCGGCCTGCGGATGAGAACCATCACTCCGAGGTGAGGGCCCCCCATCCCCCCACAGCCCCTCCTTCCTGGCCCCGCTGGGCCTGCCCGCCTCCCGTGCTGGACCCTCCTCTCGGATGCCCCTGTCTGCTCTGTCTGATGGAGTCCTCTGGCATCTTCCAGAGTCCATTCATGCACCACCTCCTCCTCCAGGAAGTCTTCTGGGTTAATTTCCTGGGGCTGCCACACAAGTTACCACAGCTTGGCGGCTGAAAACAACCCAGACATATAGGTTGAGGGTTGTGGGTTCAGAAGACTGAGCGTGGGCTGTTGGGGCCACGCGGTGGTGGAGGCTCTGGGAGGAGCCTTCCCGCTTCCAGCCTCCGAGCCTGCAGCCTCCTGGCTGTACACAAGTCCCCCCTCCCACCGTGTGCATCCATCCCTCCTCCCCGCCCAGCTCCCATGACCTCCTCCGCGTCTATCTCCCTCCCACTTCTCATGGGAGAGAATCTCATTGGCATGGGATTCGGGGCTCACCCTGAAGTCTGGATTCTCTTAAGATGCCTATGAAGATGTTAATTCCAGACAAGTCTCGAGCATTCGGAGGCCCCGGTGACCTTGGGCGGGCACTGCCCTGCCCCTCTGGGCTCCCCACGTGGGAGGAGCTGCCCCATCTCTGCCCAGCACTGGCCTCTCTCCGAGGCTGACCTGGCCCGGCGGTGGGGCCTCGGGCCCTGCCTGCCAGCTTGGCCAGGACTCCTGGGAGCGAGGACCCTACTGGAGAGCAGTTAAAGCAGAGTCTACCCGCCTGTCTTCTCATTGTGTTCTCCTCCTTTCCTCCACTCCATGTCTGCTCCTCCTCATCCCTGCCTGGCCCGTTGTCTGTCTGTCCGCCCCGCTTTCCTCCATCTACCTCCTTAGCCTTTACTTGTCCATGCATTCACCACCTTTCCTCCCTGCCTTCCCTCTTCCTGCCGCCTCCCATCCCCGCCCCCTCTGGTCAGCCATCGCCACCCTTTGCCTGTCTAGTGCGCCAGGTTGTTCAGAGCCAGGCGAGCGGGCGGCATGGAGCCTGCTCTCGGCTGCTGGCCTGTCTGGTGGTGGCAGAAGATTGAGGCTGTGTGCCCAGAGCGGGTTTGGAGGCTCAGAGGCCTTACACAAGTGTATCTCCTCAGTTTGGTGGAAGAGCTGAAGGCCAGCAACCCCGACTTCCCATCCGTCAGCAGCGGCATTTATGTGCAAGAGGTGGCCCCAAACTCACCTTCTCAGAGGTGAGCAGGTGGGGCCGGCATGGCAGGGGGGCAGTAGATCAGACATTCTAGAGGGCGTGTCGGGGTGGGGGTGGGGGCTGAGCTGGGGCTCCCCCATTGACCTTACACGGTCTTGAGACTCCTGGCAGAGAGATGTGGATAGGGCAGGTGGATTCTGGCCTCTCCCCGAAGCCACAGGAGGCAGACGGTGCGCTCCATGCCCACACCCTGGCACAGCCGTGGGCTCTTCAGGCCGGGCCCTGGACACACCCGACCCGAGCCACGGCAGGCCGGGCCCTGGACACACCTGACCTGAGCCACGGCAGGCTGGGCCCTGGCAGCAGCGGAAACCATCATCCTGCTTGCTGGATGGACCCCACTGGGGTCTGGGCTGCTGTCAGGGGGAAGACGGAGCCTGTGCCATCTCAGTAGTGAACATGTACCCGTCACGTGCCCTTGGTGGAGGAGGCTGGTGCCGGGGCCTGCTCTTGCTCCTAGAAGCAAGTGGCTTTCTAAAGTGGCTATTGCGGCCCGGGCCCCGGCCTCGCCAGCCTGTGTGGTGACCGCACCGTCTTCATCGGCCGGGGCCTCGCCAGCCTGTGTGTGTGTGTGTGTGTGTGGTCACCATGCTGTCTCCATTGGCAGGGGAGGCATCCAAGATGGCGATGTCATCCTGTGGGGGGGGATGCCTCTCAGCCTGTGTGTGTGTGTGTGCATGTGTGTATGTGTGTGCGCGCATGTATGTGCGTATGTGTGTGTGGTCACTGCACCGTCTCTGTTGGCAGGGGAGGCATCCAAGATGGCGATGTCATCCTGTGGGGGGGGATGCCTCTCAGCCTCTGTGTGTGTGCGCGTGTGCGCGTGCGTGTGCGGTCACTGCACCATCTCCGTTGGCAGGGGAGGCATCCAAGATGGCGACGTCATCGTCAGAGTGAACGGGCGCGCTCTGGCGGACTCGAGCGAGCTGCAGGAGGCCGTGCTGACCGAGTCCCCGCTCCTGCTGGAGGTGCGGCGGGGGAACGATGACCTGCTCTTCAACATCTCTCCCGAAGTGGTGATGTGACGCGGGTCGCGTGACAGCCGCCTCCCGCCCGTGCCCGTCACGGAGCCCGCGGTGCCACGTCTGTGGCCTCCCCAGGCTCAGGACGAAGGACCCCGGGTTCCTCAGCGGGGCCTCCTCCCTGGCCAGGAGCAGAGCAGAGGTTGGGCCCGGCCAGGGGTCTGCGTCTCCACCCGGCCCCCAGTGCTGGTGCCAGTGCCGATGAGGAACGCCCAGCGTCAGCCCCTGGTCCGACACTCCTGGCACTCCCGTTGCTGGGCCTCTAGAAAGTTCTGCAGTTCCCCTCGGGGCATGACAGGGGCTGCCTGCCCAGCCTCCCAAAATCTCTGAAGGACAGACCATGTAGAGAAGATCCCGTGTAGAGCGGGCCCTGCAGGCTGCTCTGGAGCAGGTGCCGGAGGCGTCCACACTGAGCCAGGCTTGTGCCCGCCAGCTGGCCGGCAGCCATGGGGAGCAGGGCCTCCTGCCCAGGAGTGGCCCCCGCCAGGTGACTGGGAGCTGCCCGGTGCCAGGACGGAGCCACCAGCCCCTCTTCCGCACAGCTGGGGTGCAGCAGCCACCCCATCCCAGCCCCACTGCCAGAAGCCGCGGCCCTCCCGGGCACCTGCCCTCCGACGTGTTTCCAGGTGTATTTAGGAGCTTGGCTGTAAGATCACCTGCAGTGCTGCACGTACTGTATGTTTGTCTACTGTGTGGAATTAAAGTTTACAAGCACGTGGTTCTCTGTTAGCGGTGTCTGAGCAATGCAGCCCCCCCCAACACACACACACGGGGGTTCATCCTGGCACCTGGCCAGGCGTATGAGCCAAGACCTGCCAGGGCTTCTACAGGTGCGTGACACCTGAGCAACCACGCACACAAGGACGCACCGTCCCAGGGCCGCCTGGCGCCCAGCGGCTCCTCCACTGATGCCCAGCTCTGGCCCTCCCTGCAGGAGGGAGGGCGAGGCCGCCCCGCCCACCTCTGCCTGTAGAGCAGAGACCCGGCTCCCAGCAAGCCCAGGCCTTAGAGCTTCATCTCTCCTGTAGCCAGTCCCAGCAATGGGAAAACCGAGGCAGAAAGATCACAAAAGCTTGGTGCCATGTGCCTGGGATGCCAGCTGCTCTGAAGCCAGGGGTGGGCACCTGGCAGCCCGCGGCGGCCCCGACAGACTGCCTGGACCGAGTCTGGGGTCCTGCTGGCCGTGCTGCTCCTGCATGGTGGGCAGAAGCCCCCCCCACCATCCCTGGTACCATCCGCATCCTGGGGTCACCGGGGCCTGGACACAGGCCCCATCCTCCCTCCCCAGTCTGGGGCACAGCAGACAGGGCCAGCCCTCTGCCTATGGCTCTGGAGCGCCAGGCTGAGCCCCTGGCCAGCCCGACACCTGCCACCCGCTTCCCTAAGCCCTAGCGCCCCAGTCAATGGAGTTCATGCTATTTCCCTGGCAGTTTGGTCTCCTCAGGAAGATGAAGCCAACGTCCCAGCCCTGCGTGAAGCCCAGGAGGGTCTGGATTCGGGGTCTGGCCCCGAGTGTCCCCTGTGCCCCCTGTGCTCCCCCGCCCTTGGGGTAGCTGTGGTGGTGGGTCTGACGCTTTCCCACCGACCCGTGGGGGCCGAGCAGCACATTCCGAGGCCGGGCTGCCTCTGCCCGGACCGGCTCTCCAGCCCGCAGACCCCCCGCCCCGCGGAAGTGGTGCTGAGCAGTGCAGGCCCGTCCTGCCATCGCTCCCAGACCGACGGCGGCAGGCTGACCTCCAGCTGTTCCTGCAGCTGTTTAAAAAAAAGCCTGTGAAAAACAACTTTTCCAGAGCCAGCCAGCTGCCTGGAGAACATTGAGTAACTCTGCCGGCCCACCCACCCCTCCTCCGCGTTCCCTGTGAGGCGGGTGGCGGGCCCGGGGCCCCGCATGCCAGCCCCGCAGACACCCCAACTCCCACAAGATCAGAGCCTGTGGCCAACGCCTGCCATGGGGGAAACCGAGGCCCAGAGAGGGGTCAGGCCACACATGCGCCGGTGGCTGGCCTGCAGTGACCGGGCGGGGCTCTGTCCCCCTGGGCAGCTGTGCTCACAGCGGTGGCCAGGTAAACATCCGCTTGGGGGGATGGAACTGGTCAGGCCCTTCAGCTCTCTGCCCGCGCTGACCTGCACACGCGCACCCTCCCCCAAGTGCTCCCCAACCCACCATGACCAGAGATGGGAGTTCAGGAATGAGCTGCAGCCCAGGGGGGCATGGAGGAGCACAGGGGAGCACGGGGGAGCACAGAGGAGCATGGAGGAGCACAGGTGAGCACAGAGGAACATGGAGGAGCACAGGGGAGCACGGGGGAGCACGGGGGAGCATGGGGGAGCACGGAGGAACATGGGGGAGCACGGGAGCACAGAGGAGCACAGAGGAGCACAGAGGAGCACGGGGGAGCACAGAGGAGCACGGGGGAGCACAGAGGAGCACAGGAGAGCACAGAGGAACATGGGGGAGCACAGGGGAGCACGGGGGAGCACAGAGGACCACAGGGGAGCACAGAGGAGCACAGAGGAGCACAGGGGAGCACAGAGGAGCACGGGGGAGCACAGAGGAGCACAGGAGAGCACAGAGGAACATGGGGGAGCACGGGGGAGCACAGGGGAGCACAGAGGAGCACAGAGGAGCACAGGGGAGCACAGAGGAGCACAGAGGAGCACAGAGGAACATGGGGGAGCACGGGAGAGCACAGAGGAACATGGAGGAGCACGGGGGAGCACGGGGGAGCACGGGGGAGCACAGAGGAGCATGGAGGAGCACAGAGGAGCATGGAGGAGCACAGAGGAGCACAGAGGAGCACGGGGGAGCACGAGGGAGCACAGGGGAACATGGGGGAGCACGGAGGAGCACAGGGGAGCACAGAGGAGCACAGAGGAGCACGGGGGAGCACGGGGGAGCACGGGGGAGCACAGAGGAGCACAGAGGAACATGGGGGAGCACGGGGGAGCATGAGGAAGCCCGAGGACTATGGTGGAGCCCAGGCTGCTCCCCAGCCTTGAATAGTGCGGGGTATACACAGGCTCTGGAGCCACAGTACAGGCCCAGCTCTGGGTCCCCTCCCCAGTCCCCTTCCCTAGCCAAGGACTCCTGCTTCTTGGGATCTGTCCACTGCCCTCTGATCACCTGCTGCCTGGCAGTTCCTGCGTGGATCCCCCCCTCCCCCCCCGCCCCCGCCCCCAGGCCGATTCAAATGGACCACCCCTAAGAAGGATGGCAGGTGCCCACAGTCTTGCCCACGTCCCGTGTGGCCTTGTACCAGGGTCTGCCAGAGGGACTCTTCCCCCCCACACTGGGGCTCACGGTGGGCGGCCAGTAGACAGGACGGAAGCCAGCCCAGAGGCTGTGAGGGACCACCCTGCCTGCCCCTGCGGAAGGAACCAGCCGAGACCGCCTCCTGTCAGGCCTCCGGGCTCCAGGAGGGCCCCGGGACGCGCGTGCTGTCTCCTCCGCCAAGCGTGTGGCCAGTTGTTGGTCATGGCAGCCCCAGGACCCTCGCTTCAACCTCCGTGCCTCCAGAAGCCTGGGTCGGTCACGGTCTCCATGCCGTGGCTTCCTTGGGTCTTTCTTGGAGCTCACACCTTCGCCTCATCCGAGGCGTACCCCAGCAAGGCCCCCAGAGCCTGGGCGGGGCAGGCGCCCGCTGTCTCCAGCGCTACCTGCGCTACCGACGTGACCTGAGAGCCCGCCTTCACTCCAACCGGGACTCCCCAGCCACTCCTGTCCAGGCACGCTGGAGGCTACGGGGGCAGAGGACCAGCGAGGACGGGAGAAGGGGACGTCCAGAGCTGCTCCCTCATCACTGGCCTCTGAGCCCGAGGTCCTGTCCGGTGGCGGGGGAGGGGACAGCCCCGGCCTGGGACGCTCCCTCCACAGCAAGGCTCTGCCCCATCTGCTCTCCCCAAGGACACGGGCCCGGGAGCATCCACGGGCCAGGGAGGCCGGGGCCTCCTCCCGGCACAGCCTCCACCTCTGTCCTGCACCCTCCGTCCCTTCTCTCTGGAGGAGCTGGGGACCTACTCAACTCACAATGGCTGGGAAGCCGAGAGGGAGAGACGGAGACGAGATGGAGCCAGGTCAAGGCTGGGGTTCCCGCCTCCCCCCACCCTCTGCAGGCCCCTCCTCCCATGAGTTCCATCCCCGAAAGCAGGGCTGGGGACCATTTCCTGCTAGAGAATATTTGGGTGTGGGAGCCTCACGCGTGGGCCATTCGGAATGACCGGTGCGGCAGACGGCGCAGGCTGTGGGCGGGCCGTGCGCTCACACGTGTGTCTGTCTGTCCCATGGCGGGCACGGTGTCCAGCCCCTCGGTCACCCCGCAGGTGGACATTCCCACCCGTGACCTCAGCATTCCACCGCTTCCTAAGAGCGCCAGCTGCCGGGACTGGGCCTTCCACGTACAGGGACCACGGCAGACGTGAATTCAAATCCCAAACCCTCCACACGGGCCAGCGAGGCTGGGTACCCGCCAGCTCTGAGCCCCAGGGTTCTCCTCTAAGAAAGGGGCTGAGAGCCGGGGACCGGTGGCTCACGCCTGTCATCCCAGCTACTCAGGAGGCTGAGATCTGAGGATCGCGGTTCAAAGGCAGCCCGGGCAGGAAAGTCCATGAGACTCTCATCTCCAATGAACCAACAGAAAACTGGAAGTGGCGCTGTGGCTCAAGTGGTAGAGCGCTCGCCTTGAGCTGAAGAGCTGAGGGACAGCGCCCAGGCCCACGGCCGACCCCCCCCACAAAAAAATCCTGTTCTCCCCTGGCGTGAGGAAGTTGGCATCCTTGCCCTCCAGTCACCTCCCCAAACCACCACCGCCAGCAGAGACCAGCGCCCGGCGCTGGAGCCTTGTGCGGCCATTTCCTGTCTCCTGCCCAGCGGCAGCCCTGCGGCAAGCCACCCGCCCCCACAGTCCCCGCGGCGGGGGGGGGGGGCCCTCACTGGCCATCTGCCCCGACTCAGCCCCTCTCTCTACCCTCCCTCTCCCTCTTCCCCTCTTCCCTCCCCGCCCAGGGCTCCGAGTTAGTCTCTCATCGTATTGGGCGTGGCTTCCTCTCGTCCTGGGGTACAGGGCCCAGCGGCCCCTCTGGCCGTTCCCAACTCCAGCAGCTCAAGATGTCTGCCCGAGCGCCCGGGGCAGCATTGCATTTGTGGCCGATGCTATGTGCCATGGGCTGGGCTCCAGCTAGCTCGGCACTCAGCGTCTCTGCCCGAGTTCCCCAGAGCCGAAGCCCAGACGTTTCCCCCTCGAGCTGCGGCTGGGCCATGAGTGGCAGCTCCCAGAGACGGTCCATGCCGGGAGCCCAGCCCACCACAGCACAGCCAGGCTCTCAGGACCGGCGGGGCCTGCCTGGCTCCCATCCACACGCCTCCCCCCAGGTCGGAGCTCCCTGCCACAGCCTCCAACTCCACACCAGGGGCATTACATGAGGAAGTGGGCGGGGCATGCATGAGGAAGTGGGTGGGGCTTGCATGAGGAAGTGGGTGGGGCATGCACGAGGAAGTGGGCGGGGCATGCACGAGGAAGTGGGCAGACTTCGCTTCCAGAGGTGTGTGTGGACCATCTTGGTCCCCTCCCGGCACCTTGGGCCCACGGCTCTTTCTGACCCCTGGAGCAGCCACGTGAGGCCTGCGCTCAGCTGCTCCGCGAGCCCTGGCGGGCCTGGCTGTGGGGTGGGGGCGCCGCAGGGAAACGGTCCCTGCCACGCGGCCACTGCCCTGGTCGGCCTGGCCGTGGCCGAGCCTTCTTTTTTTTTTTTTTTTTTAATTTTATTTTATTTGTGAACACACTGTACAGAGGGGTTACAATTACATGGGCAGGATAACGCGTACATTTCTTACCAAGCATTGCAGCCTCCTCCTTTGTTTACCCTTCACCTCCCTTCCCAGCCCCCCCCTCCCCCCCAGGCCGAGCCTTCTTGAGTCCTGGGCTCTGAGTCTCTGCCCGGCCTCTGACGGGCTCAGCCTCGGGGCTGGGCAGACGTGGCCTAGGAGACATAGCTGCCGGGTGAGCGATGGCTCGTCGCGTCTCCAGGGCTGGGCGGCGGCGGCGTGGGCTCGCCTGGCTCCGCGTTCCTCATCGAGGCTCCCAGCGCCCGCGCGGCCGCAAGGCCATCCGTCACTGCTTCTGTGTGGACGGGGTGCGGCTCAGTGGGGACACAGGGCGCCGTGGGGGGGCAGGGCAGCGTGCTGCAGCCCCCTGGGGGGACACAGGGCACGGGGGGGCAGGGCAGCGTGCTGCAGCCCCCTGGGGGGACACAGGGCGCCGTGGGGGGGCAGGGCAGCGTGCTGCAGCCCCCAGGGGGGACACAGGGCGCCGTGGGGGGGCAGGGCAGCATGCTGCAGCCCCCTGGGGTGACACGGCACGGGGGGGACAGGGCAGCGTGCTGCAGCCCCCTGGGGGGACACACGGCATGGGGGGGACAGGGCAGCGTGCTGCAGCCCCCTGGGGGGACACACGGCATGGGGGGGACAGGGCAGCGTGCTGCAGCCCCCTGGGGGGACACAGGGCATGGGGGGGACAGGGCAGCGTGCTGCAGCCCCCTGGGGGGACACAGGGCACGGGGGGGGCAGGGCAGCGTGCTGCAGCCCCCTGGGGTGACACGGCACGGGGGTGGGGGGGGCAGGGCAGCGTGCTGCAGCCCACCCTCGGGCTGTGCTTGCCTACACATGGTACCCATGCTCCAACCCAGAGCCACAGGGCTGGTGTTGGGGTGCGGGCGTGGGGGCGCGGGCGCGGGGGTGCGGGCATGGGGGCGCGGGCGCGGGGGTGCGGGCATGGGGGCGCGGGGGGTGCGGGCGCGGGGGCGCGGGGGGTGCTGGCGTGGGGGTACGGGCGTGGGGGCACGGGCGCGGGACTGCTGGCGCGGGGGTGCGGGGGCGCGGGGGTGCGGGGGTGCGGGGGTGGGGGTGCGGGCATGGGCTGCCGGCGCGGGGGTATGGGAGTGGGGGTACGGGCGTGGGGGTGCGGGTGTGTGGGTGTGGGCGCAGGGGTGTGTGGGTGTGGGCACAGGGGCGCGGGGGTGCGGGACGGGGCAGCTCCCGTGATTCAGAGAGCCAGCCAGGGGGCCAGGGAGCGCCTGCGCACGCGCCTCGGGCTGGGGAGCCGGGGGCTTGTGGGAGAAGCGAGGCCGGGACACCGTGGCCCATGCGCGAGCCTGCGTGTGAGCGGCGCTTCTGCCCGGGCCGTGCCACTGCAGACTCCACCGACACCGTGGGCTCCTGAGTCTGCGTTGACTTTCTCGACCGTGTCTGCGCTGTCGTTTATTTAAAACACATTTGAACATCAAGGACCCTGCCCCGCCCTCACCCCAGAGGAGGCTTGGAAAAATGGGGCACTTCCCAGACCCCCGCCCCGCCGAGGCCGCCGGCCACCCCCTCCTCACACGGGCCTCATGGAGCCCTTCCTCAGCCAGGAGCGGCCGCGGGCTCCAGGAAGATGAGTGACAGCCGCCGTGACATTCCTGGGCCCCGTCCAGTCCACTCTGAAAGACTCTGCTGCTAAACTCATCCGCCCGCCTCTCCTCTTCCCTCCTCCCCCGCCTCAACCCCTCCCCTTCCCCCCTCCCCCCCTCAACCCCTTCCCCCCTTCCCCCCCTCCCCTCCCCCCTCCCCCCCTCAACCCCTTCCCCCCTCCCCCCCTCATCCCCTTCCCTCCTCCCCCCGTCCTCTTCCCCCTCCCCCCTCATCCCCTTCCCTCCTCCCCCCGTCCTCTTCCCCCTCCCCCCTCATCCCCTTCCCTCCTCCCCCCCTCGTCCTCTTCCCCCGCCCCCACTCATCCCCTTCCCTTCTGCATTTTTTCCTTACCAAATAAAAAGTTTATTGCTTTTCAAATGTAAAAAGTAACACGTGTTCGTTTTAGAAAATCAGATAAGCCGAAAGAGGAAAAGGGCTTTTTCCTCCCCACGCCCGTGCTAGGTGAGGGACAACTGTCTAAGCACGCAGCCTCCCGGCTTCCTGGAGGTCACAGAAATTTCTGGAATTTTTCCGGGGCTGGATGCACGGTTGGGAG